GGGCGTCGGCAATGTTGTTTTGCCCCCCTTTTTGTACGTGATGCGATAGGTGAAGTGGCTTTCGATGTAATCAAGCCATCGAATTTGTCGCGGGTTGAGGTTGGGCTGGGCTCGCAGATATTGGAGGGACTTGTGGTCCGTGCGAACAGTGACGTCGGCGCCCACCAGGTAGCATCGCCACAGTTTGAATGCGTGGATGAGCATTTCTTTGTCGTGAATCGGGTAGTTGCGTTCGGCTGCTTGCAGCTTGCGGGATTCGTAAGCTATCGGCTGCAGTCCGTTCCCGAAATCCTGGAGTAGCACTGCTCCGATCGCGAAATCAGAGGCGTCGGTGACGACTTCGAACGGCTTCGATGGGTCGGCGATGCGCAGCACAGGAGGGGAAACCAGGAAAATTTTCAACTCCTGGAAAGCCGCTTCTGCCTCCTCCCCCCACACAAAATTCCTGTCCTTGTGCAGCAGGTCGGTTAGCAGGCCGGTTATCCCCGCCATATTTGGGATAAACCGCCGGACGTAATTCACGAACCCCAGAAAACTCTGCAGCTCCGTGATATTCGTCGGGGACTTCCACTCCTGTATGGGCTTGATTTTCGCCGGGTCGATTTTAATGCCGTTGCGTGAGACAACGTGTCCCAAAAACTCCAACTCTTGCTTAAAAAATTCGCACTTAGAGCCCTTGGTGATGAGTCGATTCTCCTGCAACCGCTTAAACACTGCGTCGAGGTCACGGAGGTGGTGCTCCCGTGTCTTGCTAAAAATCAGGATATCGTCCAAGTAGACGATGACGCGTCGGTCGAGCAGGTCCCGAAAAATCCTGTTCATGGTTAATTGAAAAGTTGAGGGCGCGTTCGTGAGGCCGAAAGGCATCACTGTGAATTCGTAACTTCCGTAGCGGGTGCGAAATGCAGTCTTGTGGTAGTCGTCGGCGAAGACTCGGATTTGGTGGTAACCGCCTCGTAAGTCAATCTTCGAGAAATAACGAGCTCCGCGAAGTTGATCGAGGAGGTCATCGGTGCGGGGGATTGGATAGCGAGACTTGATTGTCACCCGGTTTAGCGCACGATAGTCGATGCACATGCGAAGCCCACCATCTTTTTTCGGAGTGAAGAGGATCGGCGCTGCGAAGGGAGATGTGCTGGCTCGGATGAACCCTTTCTCCAACAGTGCGTCGATTTGACTTCGCAACTCCTCAAGTTCCGGTTGGGTCAACCGCCATTGTGTCCGAACAGTCGGCTGCGCGCCAGGTTCCAGCTGGATTTTGTGGTCCTCGGGTCGCTCGGGTGGTAGTCCAGGTGGCAGGTCGTCGGGAAAAATGTCGGGGTACTGTCGAATCAGCTCCGCTGGATGAACTTGGTCCACCTCCAGCCCCTGCATCATCATGGTGGATGTTGATAGATGCAGATAATATGCATGCAGATAATATGCACATTTGGGAGGTCATTTAGTGACAGGAATATGACAAAGAAAATGGTCACGTGGACATCATGTCGAATAAGACAATCACAACGAATTGAACGTTCGCTTTGCATTACCTGAACCAGAATATGTGTTCCTCGAAGCGGATGCACAGGTCGTATCATCTCGCGCGGCCGCACTGTGAGATGAAGCTGAAGCCTGTAAGATCATGAACGACTGCACTGAGCATGGTCGAACGCCATGCTCCGGGTGGGGATCATATCCCCACAGCTCTGCTACATCCGAAAATCGGAAATCCAACCCATCATCGTCCGCGCTTGGCTCCATCGTATTCCCCTCCAAGATGTCAATGGCGACCGATCCTCCGTAAACCCCACTGTCTGGAGAACCGCTGGCGCACCCACTGCCAGCAGGTCCTCGACCCTCAGTAACGGGTACCTCTACCATGCTCACCACACCCTCCTGGCCCCCTACCACTAGCCCCTCCGGGCCTTGTGATGCTCTACCCCCCCTGTTCACCACCCCACCCCCACTCTGGCCTCGCACCTGGACAACACGTCGCATCTCGGGGAACTCGTATTGCGTGCTAACATCCGCCAAATCCACAAAACCGATCTTCTTCAGCTTACAGACTTCCTTGATTAAATCCTTCCTTGTCGGTTTTTTGGGTACTCCTGGCAATTTGGGCCCAAGCCGCTCTCGCAACCATGCCTTGAGGTCTTCAGCCTTGATGTTCCAAAGATCCTGGATTGTGTCCGCATCTGATGGGTGTTTTTACCTTTTTCTTCCCCTCCATGAATTTTTTATGAAACATGCGTGATAGCGAACGACCCTTATGCCACACATCGCGTTGATGCTCTATACTAGTACCAAGGATCCCAAGCTTGAATGACGCACCCTCGTATGAAACTATGCCCTTTATTGGAAAACCCCACTTCTGAAGGTCTTGCACCCCTGTGCTAAAAGCAACCCCCTCTAACTGATTGGATGCCAGATCGTCTGGTGTTTTCGGCAAGGTGACGCAATGTATTATCTTCCTGGTCCTGGCATCCATGAATGCGACAGTGCACCACTCAGCTTCGCGTGGCTGTCCCCACCTCCCATCGACACATAACCAAATATCCCGTCTACCCTGGGCCATCATCACTTCTCGTACCTTTTCCATACACTTTTCCGCATGCGTTACTATCTTCTCCCATAAGCCACCCGGAGCACTCATGTACTTATAGAAAGTCGTCTTACAAGGGACTGGCACGCCAAGATTCCGCCCCACCTCCGAAAACACTTGGTAGCCTAAGCCAGCAAGTGCAAAAGACGCAAGGAACCTCTGCATCAATGTCAGACGTTTTCGACCAGGCTTGCTTGCCTCACCAGGTGATACCTGACGGTTTATCGACCATAATGGTAAGGAACCATGGCATTGGTCACAAGTCCAAACCACTCCTAACGTCGCCCACATCAGCTTCCATGACCGTAAGTGCATCTTACCCCCACAACCTCGCCCTAGTGTGCACATAATCGAGATGGTATGAAAGAACCTGATGACGTGAATGGGATCCAAAAGGCACACGACTTGTCGCAACCCGTCCATTGTCGGCTTGGATGGCCATCTCCTTGGGGATCCCCCGGCCGGGGTACGATGAACCTGCGGATCTCTGGTGCGTAGATGCAATCCAGGTAAGGAAGAAGGGGGGATGGAAAGCGGTCATGGGTATGGAGGGGTGGTTTCATTGTATCAGTGCAAGTCGAATACAAGTCACATGATACCATTCACCGTACATCACGATTATGTTGCATCCCCTAGTTCAAATGTTACATACCCTGTAATGTTCGCCTCGATGTCGTCCATGCATCCCTCCTCGGCTGTACACGGTGTCTCTTGGCCGTCGTTGCATGCCTCATCAATCTCTATTGACACATGGGTGTCAGAGGTCCGCTGGTGATCTCTGATTGATCCTAGGGAAGGGTTACAGGCATGTTGTCCTGGGGGGTTATGGGCGCACTGACCCGCTACTTAACAAGCCCTTTTATCCCAGTGGTCTAGTGGTTGGGATTCTGACATGGTATCAGAGGGAAGGTCTCGGGTTCGAATCCCAGTGTGTGCACTTCGGGCATCCCAGTGCGGGGGGTGTCAGAGGTCCACTGGTGATCCCCGATTGATCCTAGGGAAGGGTTACAGGCATGTTGTCCTGGGGGGTTATGGGCGCACTGACCCGCTACTTAACAAGCCCTTTTATCCCAATGGTCTAGTGGTTGGGATTCTGACAATGGGCTTCACCAGGACACTCCTCCCCTCCTTCATCCATGGTAGCTTCAACGTCTGGTCGACAAACGTCGTCTTCCATCTGTTCGACAACATGAAGTGCAGACTGTTCATAGTGCATGCTCTGTCCCGCTGATGCTAAAGGACAAGGTAGAGCAAGGGAGTAGATGATGAACAGTGAAGGAAGAATAGAAAAAAGCGAGGGGAAACAAGGGGATATGTGGGGGAAAGAGAGGGAGTGGAGGGAAGAGAGAGGGAGGGAGGGGGTATATGAGTAGTATTGGGGTAAAAGATGGAAAATGGAGAGGCGAGAGGGGAGGAAGGGTTAGGAAAGGGAGAGAAATCAATGGAGAAGAAGAGAAGGAACATAGGCAAAAGAAGAGGAAATCAGAGCGGAAGAGGGCAGGGCGGATGGCATGGGTTATGGAAGAGAACGAAATGGGATTTACGAGGATACTGATGGTTGGATGTTTCGGCAGGCATCGCCTCACATTCTATGACATGCACCTTTTCGTAGAAGGTTGGTGTAAGCGATCCCACGTCGAGGTCCTCCTTGATCAAATATTGCTCCCTCTTTTCGCGCACTCCCATCCTTTTCCTCGTACTTTGGAAAATTGTACGTTAGACCAGCGATTGCACGCCCCTGCCCTTTCACAATGATATCTGGTTGTCCAATAGATCGATCCTTTCCTCCTTGGAACTTGTTCCCGAAATCCCCCATCAGCAACTGCACCGTTGGCTCGGCCTCGTCCCCGTCCACCCCTGCACGGATAGGAGGTGTGTGTATGTTACTCTCCACGTATGTTGTCCAATGAAAAAGCCCACGCTGACTCCTCCGATTTCCCTTCCCACAGTATACTCTTGTACTCACTCACCGGCCTGCTTGGCTGCTGACATGAGCGCATCCTTCGCTCCGGATCCCGCATGTATAAGAAAGTACACCAAATCCGCAACAGTGCCGACTCTCCCTTCTCCCATTAGAGAGCTCAATCCACAACGGAGGTAGCATATGGGGATCTGCATTTTATTTGCTATTGCCAAGTTTCCTTTCTCCTTACTCCCAACAAGCTCAAGCACTTTGCTCCTCCACGACGCTGCTGTTTGTTTCTTTCGGATTCGAGCCATGGTGACTGGTGGTGGGGGGGAATGGATGAGCCATGGTGACTGGTGGTGGTGGGGGGAACGGATGTAGCGCGAGGGATGATGGGTGAGTTTGCTGGGGGAGGGGTCTGTTGGGATGGGCTGGAAATAGTGGGAGGTGGGAGGAAGATCGAGCATGCTGGCAGAGAAACGGGTGAGCAAGAGGAAGGGATGGGAAACAATGAAGTGGGAACTGCAGGCAAGGGGGGACCAGGCAGCATGGAGGTGGGGAAAGGATGGTAGCCAGGGAGGGAAAGGAGGGCAAGAAGTGGGAGGAAGGAAGACATGCAGCGAGGGGAAAGGAGACCAGACAGTGGGGGAAAAAGGTAACCAAGTGGTGGGGAAAGGATACCAGACAGTGGGGGAAAAAGGTAACCAAGTGGTGGGGAAAGGATACCAGACAGTGGGGGAAAAAGGTAACCAAGTGGTGGGGAAAGGAGACCAGACAGTGGGGGAAAAAGGTAACCAAGTGGTGGGGAAAGGAGACCAGACAGTGGGGGAAAAAGGTAACCAAGTGGTGGGGAAAGGATACCAGACAGTGGGGGGAAAAGGTAACCAAGTGGTGGGAAAGGAGACCAGACAGTGGGGGAAAAAGGTAACCAAGTGGTGGGGAAAGGATACCAGACAGTGGGGGAAAAAGGTAACCAAGTGGTGGGGAAAGGAGACCAGACAGTGGGGGAAAAAGGTAACCAAGTGGTGGGGAAAGGAGACCAGACAGTGGGGGAAAAAGGTAACCAAGTGGTGGGGAAAGGAGACCAGACAGTGGGGGAAAAAGGTAACCAAGTGGTGGGGAAAGGAGACCAGACAGTGGGGGAAAAAGGTAACCAAGTGGTGGGGAAAGGAGACCAGACAGTGGGGGAAAAAGGTAACCAAGTGGTGGGGAAAGGATACCAGACAGTGGGGGAAAAAGGTAACCAAGTGGTGGGGAAAGGAGACCAGACAGTGGGGGAAAAAGGTAACCAAGTGGTGGGGAAAGGAGACCAGACAGTGGGGGAAAAAGGTAACCAAGTGGTGGGGAAAGGATACCAGACAGTGGGGGGAAAAGGTAACCAAGTGGTGGGGAAAGGAGACCAGACAGTGGGGGAAAAAGGTAACCAAGTGGTGGGGAAAGGATACCAGACAGTGGGGGAAAAAGGTAACCAAGTGGTGGGGAAAGGAGACCAGACAGTGGGGGAAAAAGGTAACCAAGTGGTGGGGAAAGGAGACCAGACAGTGGGGGAAAAAGGTAACCAAGTGGTGGGGAAAGGAGACCAGACAGTGGGGGAAAAAGGTAACCAAGTGGTGGGGAAAGGATACCAGACAGTGGGGGAAAAAGGTAACCAAGTGGTGGGGAAAGGAGACCAGACAGTGGGGGAAAAAGGTAACCAAGTGGTGGGGAAAGGAGACCAGACAGTGGGGGAAAAAGGTAACCAAGTGGTGGGGAAAGGATACCAGACAGTGGGGGAAAAAGGTAACCAAGTGGTGGGGAAAGGAGACCAGACAGTGGGGGAAAAAGGTAACCAAGTGGTGGGGAAAGGAGACCAGACAGTGGGGGAAAAAGGTAACCAAGTGGTGGGGAAAGGAGACCAGACAGTGGGGGAAAAAGGTAACCAAGTGGTGGGGAAAGGAGACCAGACAGTGGGGGAAAAAGGTAACCAAGTGGTGGGGAAAGGAGACCAGACAGTGGGGGAAAAAGGTAACCAAGTGGTGGGGAAAGGAGACCAGACAGTGGGGGAAAAAGGTAACCAAGTGGTGGGGAAAGGAGACCAGACAGTGGGGGAAAAAGGTAACCAAGTGGTGGGGAAAGGAGACCAGACAGTGGGGGAAAAAGGTAACCAAGTGGTGGGGAAAGGAGACCAGACAGTGGGGGAAAAAGGTAACCAAGTGGTGGGGAAAGGAGACCAGACAGTGGGGGAAAAAGGTAACCAAGTGGTGGGGAAAGGATACCAGACAGTGGGGGAAAAAGGTAACCAAGTGGTGGGGAAAGGAGACCAGACAGTGGGGGAAAAAGGTAACCAAGTGGTGGGGAAAGGATACCAGACAGTGGGGGAAAAAGGTAACCAAGTGGTGGGGAAAGGAGACCAGACAGTGGGGGAAAAAGGTAACCAAGTGGTGGGGAAAGGATACCAGACAGTGGGGGAAAAAGGTAACCAAGTGGTGGGGAAAGGAGACCAGACAGTGGGGGAAAAAGGTAACCAAGTGGTGGGGAAAGGAGACCAGACAGTGGGGGAAAAAGGTAACCAAGTGGTGGGGAAAGGAGACCAGACAGTGGGGGAAAAAGGTAACCAAGTGGTGGGGAAAGGATACCAGACAGTGGGGGAAAAAGGTAACCAAGTGGTGGGGAAAGGAGACCAGACAGTGGGGGAAAAAGGTAACCAAGTGGTGGGGAAAGGAGACCAGACAGTGGGGGAAAAAGGTAACCAAGTGGTGGGGAAAGGATACCAGACAGTGGGGGAAAAAGGTAACCAAGTGGTGGGGAAAGGAGACCAGACAGTGGGGGAAAAAGGTAACCAAGTGGTGGGGAAAGGAGACCAGACAGTGGGGGAAAAAGGTAACCAAGTGGTGGGGAAAGGAGACCAGACAGTGGGGGAAAAAGGTAACCAAGTGGTGGGGAAAGGAGACCAGACAGTGGGGGAAAAAGGTAACCAAGTGGTGGGGAAAGGATACCAGACAGTGGGGGAAAAAGGTAACCAAGTGGTGGGGAAAGGATACCAGACAGTGGGGGAAAAAGGTAACCAAGTGGTGGGGAAAGGATACCAGACAGTGGGGGAAAAAGGTAACCAAGTGGTGGGGAAAGGAGACCAGACAGTGGGGGAAAAAGGTAACCAAGTGGTGGGGAAAGGAGACCAGACAGTGGGGGAAAAAGGTAACCAAGTGGTGGGGAAAGGATACCAGACAGTGGGGGAAAAAGGTAACCAAGTGGTGGGGAAAGGATACCAGACAGTGGGGGAAAAAGGTAACCAAGTGGTGGGGAAAGGATACCAGACAGTGGGGGAAAAAGGTAACCAAGTGGTGGGGAAAGGAGACCAGACAGTGGGGGAAAAAGGTAACCAAGTGGTGGGGAAAGGAGACCAGACAGTGGGGGAAAAAGGTAACCAAGTGGTGGGGAAAGGAGACCAGACAGTGGGGGAAAAAGGTAACCAAGTGGTGGGGAAAGGATACCAGACAGTGGGGGAAAAAGGTAACCAAGTGGTGGGGAAAGGAGACCAGACAGTGGGGGAAAAAGGTAACCAAGTGGTGGGGAAAGGAGACCAGACAGTGGGGGAAAAAGGTAACCAAGTGGTGGGGAAAGGATACCAGACAGTGGGGGAAAAAGGTAACCAAGTGGTGGGGAAAGGAGACCAGACAGTGGGGGAAAAAGGTAACCAAGTGGTGGGGAAAGGATACCAGACAGTGGGGGAAAAAGGTAACCAAGTGGTGGGGAAAGGAGACCAGACAGTGGGGGAAAAAGGTAACCAAGTGGTGGGGAAAGGAGACCAGACAGTGGGGGAAAAAGGTAACCAAGTGGTGGGGAAAGGAGACCAGACAGTGGGGGAAAAAGGTAACCAAGTGGTGGGGAAAGGAGACCAGACAGTGGGGGAAAAAGGTAACCAAGTGGTGGGGAAAGGAGACCAGACAGTGGGGGAAAAAGGTAACCAAGTGGTGGGGAAAGGAGACCAGACAGTGGGGGAAAAAGGTAACCAAGTGGTGGGGAAAGGAGACCAGACAGTGGGGGAAAAAGGTAACCAAGTGGTGGGGAAAGGATACCAGACAGTGGGGGAAAAAGGTAACCAAGTGGTGGGGAAAGGAGACCAGACAGTGGGGGAAAAAGGTAACCAAGTGGTGGGGAAAGGATACCAGACAGTGGGGGAAAAAGGTAACCAAGTGGTGGGGAAAGGAGACCAGACAGTGGGGGAAAAAGGTAACCAAGTGGTGGGGAAAGGAGACCAGACAGTGGGGGAAAAAGGTAACCAAGTGGTGGGGAAAGGAGACCAGACAGTGGGGGAAAAAGGTAACCAAGTGGTGGGGAAAGGAGACCAGACAGTGGGGGAAAAAGGTAACCAAGTGGTGGGGAAAGGAGACCAGACAGTGGGGGAAAAAGGTAACCAAGTGGTGGGGAAAGGAGACCAGACAGTGGGGGAAAAAGGTAACCAAGTGGTGGGGAAAGGAGACCAGACAGTGGGGGAAAAAGGTAACCAAGTGGTGGGGAAAGGAGACCAGACAGTGGGGGAAAAAGGTAACCAAGTGGTGGGGAAAGGAGACCAGACAGTGGGGGAAAAAGGTAACCAAGTGGTGGGGAAAGGAGACCAGACAGTGGGGGAAAAAGGTAACCAAGTGGTGGGGAAAGGAGACCAGACAGTGGGGGAAAAAGGTAACCAAGTGGTGGGGAAAGGAGACCAGACAGTGGGGGAAAAAGGTAACCAAGTGGTGGGGAAAGGAGACCAGACAGTGGGGGAAAAAGGTAACCAAGTGGTGGGGAAAGGAGACCAGACAGTGGGGGAAAAAGGTAACCAAGTGGTGGGGAAAGGAGACCAGACAGTGGGGGAAAAAGGTAACCAAGTGGTGGGGAAAGGAGACCAGACAGTGGGGGAAAAAGGTAACCAAGTGGTGGGGAAAGGAGACCAGACAGTGGGGGAAAAAGGTAACCAAGTGGTGGGGAAAGGATACCAGACAGTGGGGGAAAAAGGTAACCAAGTGGTGGGGAAAGGAGACCAGACAGTGGGGGAAAAAGGTAACCAAGTGGTGGGGAAAGGAGACCAGACAGTGGGGGAAAAAGGTAACCAAGTGGTGGGGAAAGGAGACCAGACAGTGGGGGAAAAAGGTAACCAAGTGGTGGGGAAAGGAGACCAGACAGTGGGGGAAAAAGGTAACCAAGTGGTGGGGAAAGGAGACCAGACAGTGGGGGAAAAAGGTAACCAAGTGGTGGGGAAAGGAGACCAGACAGTGGGGGAAAAAGGTAACCAAGTGGTGGGGAAAGGAGACCAGACAGTGGGGGAAAAAGGTAACCAAGTGGTGGGGAAAGGAGACCAGACAGTGGGGGAAAAAGGTAACCAAGTGGTGGGGAAAGGAGACCAGACAGTGGGGGAAAAAGGTAACCAAGTGGTGGGGAAAGGAGACCAGACAGTGGGGGAAAAAGGTAACCAAGTGGTGGGGAAAGGAGACCAGACAGTGGGGGAAAAAGGTAACCAAGTGGTGGGGAAAGGAGACCAGACAGTGGGGGAAAAAGGTAACCAAGTGGTGGGGAAAGGAGACCAGACAGTGGGGGAAAAAGGTAACCAAGTGGTGGGGAAAGGAGACCAGACAGTGGGGGAAAAAGGTAACCAAGTGGTGGGGAAAGGAGACCAGACAGTGGGGGAAAAAGGTAACCAAGTGGTGGGGAAAGGAGACCAGACAGTGGGGGAAAAAGGTAACCAAGTGGTGGGGAAAGGAGACCAGACAGTGGGGGAAAAAGGTAACCAAGTGGTGGGGAAAGGAGACCAGACAGTGGGGGAAAAAGGTAACCAAGTGGTGGGGAAAGGAGACCAGACAGTGGGGGAAAAAGGTAACCAAGTGGTGGGGAAAGGAGACCAGACAGTGGGGGAAAAAGGTAACCAAGTGGTGGGGAAAGGAGACCAGACAGTGGGGGAAAAAGGTAACCAAGTGGTGGGGAAAGGAGACCAGACAGTGGGGGAAAAAGGTAACCAAGTGGTGGGGAAAGGAGACCAGACAGTGGGGGAAAAAGGTAACCAAGTGGTGGGGAAAGGAGACCAGACAGTGGGGGAAAAAGGTAACCAAGTGGTGGGGAAAGGAGACCAGACAGTGGGGGAAAAAGGTAACCAAGTGGTGGGGAAAGGAGACCAGACAGTGGGGGAAAAAGGTAACCAAGTGGTGGGGAAAGGATACCAGACAGTGGGGGAAAAAGGTAACCAAGTGGTGGGGAAAGGAGACCAGACAGTGGGGGAAAAAGGTAACCAAGTGGTGGGGAAAGGAGACCAGACAGTGGGGGAAAAAGGTAACCAAGTGGTGGGGAAAGGAGACCAGACAGTGGGGGAAAAAGGTAACCAAGTGGTGGGGAAAGGAGACCAGACAGTGGGGGAAAAAGGTAACCAAGTGGTGGGGAAAGGAGACCAGACAGTGGGGGAAAAAGGTAACCAAGTGGTGGGGAAAGGAGACCAGACAGTGGGGGAAAAAGGTAACCAAGTGGTGGGGAAAGGAGACCAGACAGTGGGGGAAAAAGGTAACCAAGTGGTGGGGAAAGGAGACCAGACAGTGGGGGAAAAAGGTAACCAAGTGGTGGGGAAAGGAGACCAGACAGTGGGGGAAAAAGGTAACCAAGTGGTGGGGAAAGGAGACCAGACAGTGGGGGAAAAAGGTAACCAAGTGGTGGGGAAAGGAGACCAGACAGTGGGGGAAAAAGGTAACCAAGTGGTGGGGAAAGGAGACCAGACAGTGGGGGAAAAAGGTAACCAAGTGGTGGGGAAAGGAGACCAGACAGTGGGGGAAAAAGGTAACCAAGTGGTGGGGAAAGGAGACCAGACAGTGGGGGAAAAAGGTAACCAAGTGGTGGGGAAAGGAGACCAGACAGTGGGGGAAAAAGGTAACCAAGTGGTGGGGAAAGGAGACCAGACAGTGGGGGAAAAAGGTAACCAAGTGGTGGGGAAAGGAGACCAGACAGTGGGGGAAAAAGGTAACCAAGTGGTGGGGAAAGGAGACCAGACAGTGGGGGAAAAAGGTAACCAAGTGGTGGGGAAAGGAGACCAGACAGTGGGGGAAAAAGGTAACCAAGTGGTGGGGAAAGGAGACCAGACAGTGGGGGAAAAAGGTAACCAAGTGGTGGGGAAAGGAGACCAGACAGTGGGGGAAAAAGGTAACCAAGTGGTGGGGAAAGGAGACCAGACAGTGGGGGAAAAAGGTAACCAAGTGGTGGGGAAAGGAGACCAGACAGTGGGGGAAAAAGGTAACCAAGTGGTGGGGAAAGGAGACCAGACAGTGGGGGAAAAAGGTAACCAAGTGGTGGGGAAAGGAGACCAGACAGTGGGGGAAAAAGGTAACCAAGTGGTGGGGAAAGGAGACCAGACAGTGGGGGAAAAAGGTAACCAAGTGGTGGGGAAAGGAGACCAGACAGTGGGGGAAAAAGGTAACCAAGTGGTGGGGAAAGGAGACCAGACAGTGGGGGAAAAAGGTAACCAAGTGGTGGGGAAAGGAGACCAGACAGTGGGGGAAAAAGGTAACCAAGTGGTGGGGAAAGGAGACCAGACAGTGGGGGAAAAAGGTAACCAAGTGGTGGGGAAAGGAGACCAGACAGTGGGGGAAAAAGGTAACCAAGTGGTGGGGAAAGGAGACCAGACAGTGGGGGAAAAAGGTAACCAAGTGGTGGGGAAAGGAGACCAGACAGTGGGGGAAAAAGGTAACCAAGTGGTGGGGAAAGGAGACCAGACAGTGGGGGAAAAAGGTAACCAAGTGGTGGGGAAAGGAGACCAGACAGTGGGGGAAAAAGGTAACCAAGTGGTGGGGAAAGGAGACCAGACAGTGGGGGAAAAAGGTAACCAAGTGGTGGGGAAAGGAGACCAGACAGTGGGGGAAAAAGGTAACCAAGTGGTGGGGAAAGGAGACCAGACAGTGGGGGAAAAAGGTAACCAAGTGGTGGGGAAAGGAGACCAGACAGTGGGGGAAAAAGGTAACCAAGTGGTGGGGAAAGGAGACCAGACAGTGGGGGAAAAAGGTAACCAAGTGGTGGGGAAAGGAGACCAGACAGTGGGGGAAAAAGGTAACCAAGTGGTGGGGAAAGGAGACCAGACAGTGGGGGAAAAAGGTAACCAAGTGGTGGGGAAAGGAGACCAGACAGTGGGGGAAAAAGGTAACCAAGTGGTGGGGAAAGGAGACCAGACAGTGGGGGAAAAAGGTAACCAAGTGGTGGGGAAAGGAGACCAGACAGTGGGGGAAAAAGGTAACCAAGTGGTGGGGAAAGGAGACCAGACAGTGGGGGAAAAAGGTAACCAAGTGGTGGGGAAAGGAGACCAGACAGTGGGGGAAAAAGGTAACCAAGTGGTGGGGAAAGGAGACCAGACAGTGGGGGAAAAAGGTAACCAAGTGGTGGGGAAAGGAGACCAGACAGTGGGGGAAAAAGGTAACCAAGTGGTGGGGAAAGGAGACCAGACAGTGGGGGAAAAAGGTAACCAAGTGGTGGGGAAAGGAGACCAGACAGTGGGGGAAAAAGGTAACCAAGTGGTGGGGAAAGGAGACCAGACAGTGGGGGAAAAAGGTAACCAAGTGGTGGGGAAAGGAGACCAGACAGTGGGGGAAAAAGGTAACCAAGTGGTGGGGAAAGGAGACCAGACAGTGGGGGAAAAAGGTAACCAAGTGGTGGGGAAAGGAGACCAGACAGTGGGGGAAAAAGGTAACCAAGTGGTGGGGAAAGGAGACCAGACAGTGGGGGAAAAAGGTAACCAAGTGGTGGGGAAAGGAGACCAGACAGTGGGGGAAAAAGGTAACCAAGTGGTGGGGAAAGGAGACCAGACAGTGGGGGAAAAAGGTAACCAAGTGGTGGGGAAAGGAGACCAGACAGTGGGGGAAAAAGGTAACCAAGTGGTGGGGAAAGGAGACCAGACAGTGGGGGAAAAAGGTAACCAAGTGGTGGGGAAAGGAGACCAGACAGTGGGGGAAAAAGGTAACCAAGTGGTGGGGAAAGGAGACCAGACAGTGGGGGAAAAAGGTAACCAAGTGGTGGGGAAAGGAGACCAGACAGTGGGGGAAAAAGGTAACCAAGTGGTGGGGAAAGGAGACCAGACAGTGGGGGAAAAAGGTAACCAAGTGGTGGGGAAAGGAGACCAGACAGTGGGGGAAAAAGGTAACCAAGTGGTGGGGAAAGGAGACCAGACAGTGGGGGAAAAAGGTAACCAAGTGGTGGGGAAAGGAGACCAGACAGTGGGGGAAAAAGGTAACCAAGTGGTGGGGAAAGGAGACCAGACAGTGGGGGAAAAAGGTAACCAAGTGGTGGGGAAAGGAGACCAGACAGTGGGGGAAAAAGGTAACCAAGTGGTGGGGAAAGGAGACCAGACAGTGGGGGAAAAAGGTAACCAAGTGGTGGGGAAAGGAGACCAGACAGTGGGGGAAAAAGGTAACCAAGTGGTGGGGAAAGGAGACCAGACAGTGGGGGAAAAAGGTAACCAAGTGGTGGGGAAAGGAGACCAGACAGTGGGGGAAAAAGGTAACCAAGTGGTGGGGAAAGGAGACCAGACAGTGGGGGAAAAAGGTAACCAAGTGGTGGGGAAAGGAGACCAGACAGTGGGGGAAAAAGGTAACCAAGTGGTGGGGAAAGGAGACCAGACAGTGGGGGAAAAAGGTAACCAAGTGGTGGGGAAAGGAGACCAGACAGTGGGGGAAAAAGGTAACCAAGTGGTGGGGAAAGGAGACCAGACAGTGGGGGAAAAAGGTAACCAAGTGGTGGGGAAAGGAGACCAGACAGTGGGGGAAAAAGGTAACCAAGTGGTGGGGAAAGGAGACCAGACAGTGGGGGAAAAAGGTAACCAAGTGGTGGGGAAAGGAGACCAGACAGTGGGGGAAAAAGGTAACCAAGTGGTGGGGAAAGGAGACCAGACAGTGGGGGAAAAAGGTAACCAAGTGGTGGGGAAAGGAGACCAGACAGTGGGGGAAAAAGGTAACCAAGTGGTGGGGAAAGGAGACCAGACAGTGGGGGAAAAAGGTAACCAAGTGGTGGGGAAAGGAGACCAGACAGTGGGGGAAAAAGGTAACCAAGTGGTGGGGAAAGGAGACCAGACAGTGGGGGAAAAAGGTAACCAAGTGGTGGGGAAAGGAGACCAGACAGTGGGGGAAAAAGGTAACCAAGTGGTGGGGAAAGGAGACCAGACAGTGGGGGAAAAAGGTAACCAAGTGGTGGGGAAAGGAGACCAGACAGTGGGGGAAAAAGGTAACCAAGTGGTGGGGAAAGGAGACCAGACAGTGGGGGAAAAAGGTAACCAAGTGGTGGGGATAAGGATACCAGACAGTCGGTGGGAAAAGGTAACCAACGTGGTGGGGAAAGGATACCAGACAGTGGGGGAAAAAGGTAACCAAAGTGGTGGGGAAAGGATACCAGACAGTGGGGGGAAAAGGTAACCAAGTGGTGGGGAAAGGAGACCAGACAGTGGGGGAAAAAGGTAACCAAGTGGTGGGAAAGGATACAGACAGTGGGGGAAAAAGGTAACCAAGTGGTGGGGAAAGGATACCAGACAGTGGGGAAAAAGGTAACCAAGTGGTGGGGAAAGGATACCAGACAGGGGGAAAAGGTAACCAAGTGGTGGGAAAGGATACCAGACAGTGGGGGAAAAAGGTAACCAAGTGGTGGGAAAGGATACCAGACAGTGGGGGAAAAGGTAACCAAGTGGTGGGTGAAAAGGATACCAGACAGTGGGGGAAAAGGTAACCAAGTGGTGGGGAAAGGATACAGACAGTGGGGGGAAAAAGGTAACCAAGTGGTGGGGAAAGGATACCAGACAGTGGGGGAAAAAGGTAACCAAGTGGTGGGGAAAGGATACCAGACAGTGGGGGAAAAAGGTAACCAAGTGGTGGGGAAAGGATACCAGACAGTGGGGGAAAAAGGTAACCAAGTGGTGGGGAAAGGAGACCAGACAGTGGGGGGAAAAAGGTAACCAAGTGGTGGGGAAAGGAGACCAGACAGTGGGGGAAAAAGGTAACCAAGTGGTGGGGAAAGGATACCAGACAGTGGGGAAAAGGTAACCAAGTGGTGGGGAAAGGAGACCAGACAGTGGGGGAAAAAGGTAACCAAGTGGTGGGGAAAGGATACCAGACAGTGGGGGAAAAAGGTAACCAAGTGGTGTGAAAGGAGACCAGACAGTGGGGGAAAAAGGTAACCAAGTGGTGGGGAAAGGAGACCAGACAGTGGGGGAAAAAGGTAACCAAGTGGTGGGGAAAGGATACCAGACAGTGGGGGAAAAAGGTAACCCAAGTGGTGGGGAAAGGATACCAGACAGTGGGGGAAAAAGGTTAACCAAGTGGTGGGGAAAGGAGACAGACAGTGGGGGAAAAGGTAACCAAGTGGTGGGGACAGGAGACCAGACAGTGGGGAAAAAGGTAACCAAGTTGGTGGGGAAGGGATACCAGACAGTGGGGGAAAAAGGTAACCAAGTGGCTGCGGGAAAGGAGACCAGACAGTGGGGAAAAAGGTAACCAAGTGGTGGGGAAAGGATACCAGACAGTGGGGGAAAAAGGTAACCAAGTGGTGGGGAAAGGAGACCAGACAGTGGGGAAAAAGGTAACCAAGTGGTGGGGAAAGGAGACCAGACAGCTGGGGGAAAAAGGTAACCAAGTGGTGGGGAAAGGATACCAGACAGTGGGGGAAAAGGTAACCAAGTGGTGGGGAAAGGATACCAGACAGTGGGGGAAAAAGGTAACCAAGTGGTGGGAAAGGAGACCAGACAGTGGGGGAAAAGGTAACCAAGTGGTGGGGAAAGGAGACCAGACAGTGGGGGAAAAAGGTAACCAAGTGGTGGGGAAAGGAGACCAGACAGTGGGGGAAAAGGTAACCAAGTGGTGGGAAAGGAGACCAGACAGGGGGGAAAAAGGAACCAAGTGGTGGGGAAAGGATACCAGACAGTGGGGGAAAAAGGTAACCAAGTGGTGGGGAAAGGAGACCAGACAGTGGGGGAAAAAGGTAACCAAGTGGTGGGGAAAGGATACCAGACAGTGGGGAAAAAGGTAACCAAGTGGTGGGGAAAGGAGACCAGACAGTGGTGGGGAAAAAGGTAACCAAGTGGTGGGGAAAGGATACCAGACAGTGGGGGAAAAGGTAACCAAGTGGTGGGGAAAGGATACCAGACAGTGGGGGAAAAAGGTAACCAAGTGGTGGGGAAAGGATACCAGACAGTGGGGGAAAAAGGTAACCAAGTGGTGGGGAAAGGATACCAGACAGTGGGGGAAAAAGGTAACCAAGTGGTGGGGAAAGGAGTACCAGACAGTGGGGGAAAAAGGTAACCAAGTGGTGGGGAAAGGAGACCAGACAGTGGGGAAAAAGGTAACCAAGTGGTGGGGAAAGGAGACCAGACAGTGGGGGAAAAAGGTAACCAAGTGGTGGGGAAAGGAGACCAGACAGTGGGGGAAAAGGTAACCAAGTGGTGGGAAAGGAGACCAGACAGTGGGGGAAAAAGGTAACCAAGTGGTGGGGAAGGAGACCAGACAGTGGGGGAAAAAGGTAACCAAGTGGTGGGGAAAGGATACCAGACAGTGGGGGAAAAAGGTAACCAAGTGGTGGGAAAGGAGACCAGACAGTGGGGGAAAAAGGTAACCAAGTGGTTGGGAAAGGAGACCAGACAGTGGGGAAAAAAGGTAACCAAGTGGTGGGGAAAGGATACCAGACAGTGGGGGAAAAAGGTAACCAAGTGGTGGGGAAAGGAGACCAGACAGTGGGGAAAAAGGTAACCAAGTGGTGGGGAAAGGATACCAGACAGTGGGGGAAAAAGGTAACCAAGTGGTGGGGAAAGGAGACCAGACAGTGGGGGAAAAAGGTAACCAAGTGGTGGGGAAAGGATACCAGACAGTGGGGGAAAAAGGTAACCAAGTGGTGGGGAAAGGAGACCAGACAGTGGGGGAAAAAGGTAACCAAGTGGTGGGGAAAGGATACCAGACAGTGGGGGAAAAAGGTAACCAAGTGGTGGGGAAAGGATACCAGACAGTGGGGGAAAAAGGTAACCAAGTGGTGGGGAAAGGAGACCAGACAGTGGGGGAAAAGGTAACCAAGTGGTGGGGAAAGGAGACCAGACAGTGGGGGAAAAGGTAACAAGTGGTGGGGAAAGGAGACCAGACAGTGGGGGAAAAAGGTAACCAATTGGTGGGGAAAGGAGACCAGACAGTGGGGGAAAAAGGTAACCAAGTGGTGGGGAAAGGAGACCAGACAGTGGGGGAAAAGGTAACCAAGTGGTGGGGAAAGGCTACCAGACAGTGGGGGAAAAGGTAACCAAGTTGGTGGGGAAAGGATACCAGACAGTGGGGGAAAAAGGAACCAAGTGGTGGGGAAAGGATACCAGACAGTGGGGGAAAAAGGTAACCAAGTGGTGGGGAAAGGATACCAGACAGTGGGGGAAAAAGGTAACCAAGTGGTGGGGAAAGGATACCAGACAGTGGGTGAAAAGGTAACCAAGTGGTGGGGAAAGGATACCAGACAGTGGGGGAAAAAGGTAACCAAGTGGTGGGAAAGGAGACCAGACAGTGGGGGAAAAGGTAACCAAGTGGTGGGGAAAGGAGACCAGACAGTGGGGGAAAAGGTAACCAAGTGGTGGGGAAAGGAGACCAGACAGTGGGGGAAAAGGTAACCAAGTGGTGGGGAAAGGAGACCAGACAGTGGGGGAAAAAGGTAACCAAGTGGTGGGGAAAGGAGACCAGACAGTGGGGGAAAAAGGTAACCAAGTGGTGGGGAAAGGAGACCAGACAGTGGGGGAAAAAGGTAACCAAGTGGTGGGAAGGAAAGGAGACCAGGACAGTGGGGGGAAAAAGGTAGTAACCAAGTGGTGGGGAAAGGAGACCAGACAGTGGGGGAAAAAGGTAACCAAGTGGTGGGGAAAGGAGACCAGACAGTGGGGAAAAAGGTAACCAAGTGGTGGGGAAAGGAGACCAGACAGTGGGGGAAAAAGGTAACCAAGTGGTGGGGAAAGGATACCAGACAGTGGGGGAAAAAGGTAACCAAGTGGTGGGGAAAGGAGACCAGACAGTGGGGAAAAAGGTAACCAAGTGGTGGGAAAGGAGACCAGACAGTGGGGGAAAAAGGTAACCAAGTGGTGGGGAAAGGAGACCAGACAGTGGGGGAAAAAGGTAACCAAGTGGTGGGGAAAGGAGACCAGACAGTGGGGGAAAAAGGTAACCAAGTGGTGGGGAAAGGATACCAGACAGTGGGGGAAAGAAAGGTAACCAAGTGGTGGGGAAAGGAGACCAGACAGTGGGGGAAAAAGGTAACCAAGTGGTGGGGAAAGGATACCAGACAGTGGGGGAAAAAGGTAACCAAGTGGTGGGGAAAGGAGACCAGACAGTGGGGGAAAAAGGTAACCAAGTGGTGGGGAAAGGAATACCAGACAGTGGGGGAAAAAGGTAACCAAGTGGTGGGGAAAGGATACCAGACAGTGGGGGAAAAAGGTAACCAAGTGGTGGGGAAAGGAGACCAGGACAGTGGGGGAAAAAGGTAACCAAGTGGTGGGGAAAGGAGACCAGACAGTGGGGGAAAAAGGTAACCAAGTGGTGGGAAAGGATACCAGACAGTGGGGGAAAAAGGTAACCAAGTGGTGGGGAAAGGAGACCAGACAGTGGGGGAAAAAGGTAACCAAGTGGTGGGAAAGGAGACCAGACAGTGGGGGAAAAAGGTAACCAAGTGGTGGGGAAAGGAGACCAGACAGTGGGGAAAAAGGTAACCAAGTGGTGGGGAAAGGAGACCAGACAGTGGGGGAAAAAGGTAACCAAGTGGTGGGGAAAGGAGACCAGACAGTGGGGGAAAAGGTAACCAAGTGGTGGGGAAAGGAGACCAGACAGTGGGGGAAAAAGGTAACAAGTGGTGGGGAAAGGAGACCAGACAGTGGGGGAAAAAGGTAACCAAGTGGTGGGGAAAGGATACCAGACAGTGGGGGAAAAAGGTAACCAAGTGGTGGGGAAAGGAGACCAGACAGTGGGGGAAAAAGGTAACCAAGTGGTGGGGAAAGGAGACCAGACAGTGGGGGAAAAAGGTAACCAAGTGGTGGGGAAAGGAGACCAGACAGTGGGGGAAAAAGGTAACCAAGTGGTGGGGAAGGAGACCAGACAGTGGGGGAAAAAGGTAACCAAGTGGTGGGGAAAGGAGACCAGACAGTGGGGGAAAAAGGTAACCAAGTGGTGGGGAAAGGAGACCAGACAGTGGGGGAAAAAGGTAACCAAGTGGTGGGAAAGGATACCAGACAGTGGGGGAAAAAGGTAACCAAGTGGTGGGGAAAGGAGACCAGACAGTGGGGGAAAAAGGTAACCAAGTGGTGGGGAAAGGAGACCAGACAGTGGGGGAAAAAGGTAACCAAGTGGTGGGGAAAGGATACCAGACAGTGGGGGAAAAAGGTAACCAAGTGGTGGGGAAAGGATACCAGACAGTGGGG